AAAAAAAAAATTACATGTGTTTTGTCTTAATTATCATATATTACTATAATATAATTTGATACAGTGTGGATATCAAGTGCATATCAAAATAGCTTTAGAATGAAAATTGTCTAACCAGAATACAAAGTTCAGAAGTGCAGTTGGTCCCCTTAGTATGAAAGTTCCTAATAGTGGACTCTTTAAAAAAGTTCGGTAGTGAAATAGGGTGACTATAGTTAAAAACAACATATTGTATATTTCAAAATAGATTTGAAGTGTTCCCAACATAAAGAAACGGTAAATGTTCAAGGTGATGGTTATCCTGTTATGATTTGATTATTGCACATTGTATGCACATGTCAAAATATCACATGTATCTGAGAAATATGTACAAATACTGTGTATTAATAAAATAAAATAAAAAGTTATTGTTATGGATTTCCCAAAGTGAAAGGCATGCCACTCAGTGGATAGACGGCAGCATTGCAGGAAAGAAACAACTAGGATTGCATTTATGATCTTGTCTTTTTTTTTTTTTTTTTGAGACAGAGCCTCAAGCTGTCCCCCTGGGTAGAGTGTTGTAACATCATGGCTCACAGCAACCTCCAACTCCTGGGCTCAAGCGAGTCTCCTGCCTCTGCCTCCCAAGTAGCTGGGACCACAGGTGCCCGCTACAATGCCTGGCTATTTTTTGGTTGCAGCCATGATTGTTGTTTGGCGGGGCCCGGGCTGGATTCGAACCCGCCACCTTAGGTGTATGTGGCTGGTGCCTTAGCCACTTGAGCCACAGGTGCTGAGCCGAACTTGTCTTTTTGTGACTAGGATTGCATTTATGAACTTGTCTTTTTGTGAGAGTACTATTTTATTTCATATATACTTGTTTCATTTCAAAGTCACATAAATAAACTTGGTACCATCTTCCTAGAGCCTAAAAGAAAAAAATATACACACATATATTATGATTTTGAAATGAAATAAGTGAAATAAAAAATATATATACACACACATATATACAAAACCACACATGAAAAGCATTTTAGTCTGTTCTTTCTTGATAAAGATTTACTAGAATCTTCTCTCTCTCTCTCTCTTTTTTTTTTTTGGAGACAGACTCTCACTATGTTGTGTAGGGTAGTATGGTGTCACAGCTCACAGCAACCTCAAACTCTTGGGCTTAAATGATTCTCTTGCTTCAGCCTCCCAAGTACCTGGGACTACAGGCACCTGCCACAGTGCCTGGCTATTTTTTTGTTGCAGTTGTTATTGTTGTTTTAGCAAGCTGGGGATGGTTTTGAATGGCCTGGCCAGCCCAGGTGTATGTGGCTGGTGCCCTAACTACTGATCTACAGGCGCCAAGCCAGTCTTCCTATGCTTTAAGCACTGGTGATACTTCTGACATCCAGCAAAATGCCTGTTACACAGTAGACATGCAAAAAACGTTTGTTAAATGAGTTAAAATTAATGGGTAAATACTCAGATTAAAAAAAAAAAATCATCATTAAGTCTCCCTTTGCAGTGCATACTCCCAGGCAGCCATTACAGACCTAGCAACTCGTCTTTTTACTCCAATTTCCTGGCACCAGCCCTATCTGTTCACTCATCAAATAACAATGTGCTGAACTAAACTTTTTCTTTTTGGCCAGAGTTGGGTTTGAACCCGCCACCTTTGGCATATGGGACTGGCACCTTACCCTTCTGAGCCACAGACACTGCCCTCTAATTGAACTTTTTTCCTTCCCCAAACCTATTTCTTCTTGTTTCCTGTTTATGAGAAGGCAATTACAGTCCTCCCATTTCCCCATTCCAAATTTCCTTTTTTGAGAGAAATGGGCTTCCTTTCCTGCCTTCGCAGTTTGAGTTGATATCCACTGGTTTCTTCATCTGGGTCTGACTCCCACAGCCTCAGCCTCCACCACCTTTCGTCTGGACCAGTGAATACCCTCCAATTTTCCCTGTCTTTAGTCTCTTCTCACCAATCTATGTCTAATTTTGTTGCTCCATTGCATTGCTGCCACTTCAGAGACACAATCTAGTTTGTCATAATGGTTAAGAGAAGGGATTCCGGCTCTGATATGCCCAAGGATGATTAGGGATTGATCAAGAACTTCTGGAATGGCTCAGTGCCCGTGGCTCAGTGAGTAGGACGTCGGCCACATGCACTGAGGTTGGTGGGTTTGAGCCCAGCCAGGGCCTTTTTGACAAATGCAACCAAAAAATAGCTGGGCATTGTGGCAGGCACCTGTAGTCCCAGCTACTTGGAAGTCTGAAGCAAGAGAATCACTTAAGCCGGAAAGTTTGAGGTTGCTATGAGCTATGACACTCCATCAAGGGCAACATAGTGGGAATCTGTCTCAAAAAAAAAGAGAAAAAAAAAACCCAAACAACTTCTGGAGCCAAACTGTCTGACATTCAGGGACTTTCCTCCACAGCCTCGTTTGTCACTTTGTACCCTAGCCCCAAAACCTTCTGAGAGCACATGTAGTGAGAATAAGATGGAGTCCGTCTAGCTGGGGCTGACAGGACACAGACAGCAGGACACGTTCTTTTAAAGAAAGGGTTTAGGTCCTAAGTGACCTTCACCTCATGTCTCCAATCCTGTTGTTTTGTAAATTTGACTTTAACCTAAAAGTGTATATCTTGAATAGTTTAGGGCAATTGATTTAGAAGATTAACTTTTGAACAGGAATGTGGTTATATGGGTCATGTGTTACGTCAATTATTGTTTATTATGTATGAGTCATGGGTGATGTCATTACTGTAGTTTAAGACAATTGTTAAGTACTGTTGTTTAAGATAAGGGCTGGCATGTTCTTGCTTTTAACTTTTATGTCTAAACTGTGATTTTGGAAATGGAAGACAGAACAGTCTTTTTTCTTTTTTTTTTTTTCCTAGACAGAGTCTCAAGCTGTCGCCCTAGGTAGGGTGCCGTGGCATCATAGCTCACAGGAACCTCCAACTCTTGGGTTTTTCTGTTTTTAGTAGAGACAGAGATCTTGCTCTTGCTCAGGATGGTCTCGAACTCATGAGTTCAAGCTATCCACCCTCCGTGGCCTCCCAGAGTGCTGGAATTATGGTACCCTGTGATCTAACAGTCTTGGAGAGGATACTCTCACTGTTCTCCAGAATTGCTGGCCTTCTGACAGTTTGGTGAACCTATTTGGGTCTCCACCTATTGGCTACCAGTGACAGGCAGTGGGACCCTCTTTGGCCAGTAACACTTCCTTCTCTCACCTTGCATTGGGTCTCACCTAGCTATTTAAGTCCAGCTCACAAGTCACCTCACCATCTTTCCTGAAATAATCTTCCTCTCCTCGGAAGAGCCCTTGCACAGCATCTATATGTCAGCATGCTTTGTACAACTACATTTGGGTTTGGGTGGGGGGAGGAATGGGGAAAACGTACTTTTTTTTTTTTTTTTTTTGAGACAGTCTCACTTTGTGGCCCTTGGTAGAGTGCCGTGTCGTCACAGCCCACAGCAACCTCAAACTCTTGGGCTTAAGCGATTCTCTTGCCTCAGTCTCCCAAGTAGCTGGAATTACAGATGCCGACCACAGCGCCCAGCTATTTTTTTTAGAGAGGAAGGTCTCGTTCTTGCTCAGGCTGGTCTTGAACCTGTCAGCTCAGGCAATCCTTCCCTCTCGGCCTCCCAAGTGCTGGGATTACAGGCATGAGGCACCATGCCTAGCCTGGAAACGTACATTTCTTGAGGGCAGGATATAATTTTTATTTTTTATATCTCCAATAAGTCACAGTGTGACTTGCATTGTGGCTGCCCAATAGATGTTAGGTAAATGACATCAATGCACAGAAATAAATCCACTCTGAGCGTCTCCCCTTGCAGA